TCAAATCAAATCACAATTCAATTACATATTTTTACCATATTGCCCTCATTGTACGACAACCCTCATTATAGTTATTGGCTGCTTTAAAGATGAGTGGTTGTTGAGTTAAGTCCATGCCTAATATCTGTAGGCAGTAAAGATGTATTCTTATTTGGGATCTGATTGTGTCTGTTTGTCTCTTTGCTCATTCATATACTAGTCACACTCCCACTTTTACACAATGTGTGTTTTTAAAGGCGTGTCATTTTTTGGATTTGACCAGTCATACCAGAGAGAACAAGGAAGTCATTTTGTAGAGTCACCGGTTGTATGTGTGGTTAGTGCAGTAACACAGTAGACAAATACAGAAATACATTCGATCTGCAGTGGACTTTACGGCCAAAGGTCAGTGAGTTTATGTCTGTTGCTCAGAGCTGTTCTGCTTGTTCAAAGATTTAAGTAAACACACTTGACTCACTTCTTTATAGATCTGTTTGTTTGTGAGGTTCTCGTTCGTGAACTGTTATACACTTTTAATTATCCCTTTAGCTATATATTGCTTACCCTTTGGGGATCGTCCTCTTTGAAGCAGGAATGTGATCGATGTTGACTTCTGAAGATAACTCCTGCTGTCCGACCTTTCTCTCTTTGACTTTAAACTCCTCTGATTCAAGTTGACCAGGACAGTCCGCCCACTGATGATAAACTAGGCAGAGTTTAACCGCTTTGATCTTTTTCTTTTTAGGATTTCATAAAATGACGCAACTCGGAGGAAATTTGATGATTTATTTATTACCTCTTTTTGAATATTTAATCGTCCTTTTTTTGGTTGTGCACTTTGTTGTGATAGCACTGAGGCTATTTGGCAGATCTCAGATGAATCACAGCAGGGTGTGTATTCTCATATGACTATGACTTTATTCTCATAAAGCTGCCTTCATGAAATATGAGTGTACTCTTTTCTTTGTTCATGCAGAAGAAGGTATTGCTTACTTCTGCGATGTTTTTCCCCAATAACTAATATTAAGTGAATTAGTAACGGGATCACTCAGTTAAATTAAATTATCGAGGACGCCAGGGTATGTTTTTGTTGACATTCTCTCACCAGTTTGGGAGAGGGGTTTGGATATCTTCTCTAAATCGGCTTGTTTTGTTGCTGTGTGTTTAATATTAAGTATTTTTCAAGTATACCTCACAGGTTCAAAGTGTATTGTAGGTATTGAATCAGTGACCTTTCCGTTAAAGCACATTTGCGTTAACTGTTGCCACCCTGCAGAGTGCTTCATCTCTGGGTATGTGCAGGTGCCGCTTTTAGAAGCAAACTGAAATCTGATATACAGTAGGCTTATTTAAATTGACTGCCGCAACTACTGTGGTTGAGCCATTATTGAAAACTTAGTGCGAATCAACATCAAGATACAGGTTTCCAAATAGGTACGCTTCCATACCAGACAATCTGCTTTCTTTCATCAAGGTTTTTTTCTGTGTCCTTCTACCTCTTAGAAGCTCAAATATCATATATATATTTATTTTTGTCATAGACTGGTACAGGATTAAACAAAGCATTTAACCTAAGACTATTGGAAAGCTTGCACTAACCTGTGGTGTCTTTGTTAGGGGTAGAGAATCAGAAATGTGACACTTTATGGATTAGGAATGTAGTCCTGAGTGTTCAGACCAATATCAGCACTGTGTTTAGAAAAAAGTGAGTGTAGTTGTATTGCTTAATTTCCGGTGAGACAAAAAAAGTTTTGAGTAGTACATCCAGGAGATTGAAAGCTTATCAGATGCCAAAACACAGCATAGCGTTTCTAAAGCTATGAGCAAACATTTGACAACTCTAGATGTCATGTGACAGTTTATTTAGCTTTGACGATTGCTATGTAAACAGTAGAAGAACCCTTTACCTGGTACAGAGTAATCTAACAGAAATGAATGAGGTTTACTGACCCTTTTTTCACACAGTGCGGATTTATGTCTGAACAGTCTTTAGTTATATGTCTTCCCTTATAAACCTTTCTCCGTATTCTCAAATTCCCCATGGGCTTTTTGCTCTTCAGACTTTACGTTTTCTCTTTCTCACTTACTTTCTCTTTCACTCTTACCGCCTCAACTTTCTCAGTTTCCCTTCTAACAATGTGCCTCATTGTTGAGCGGGAGGTCGTCAAGCATGATATCGGGGATTAAGACACACAGACAGACAGAAGGAAACACAGACAGAGCTATTCTAGACTGTTCCATTACTGACCAAATCCTCACTACAGAGGCCTTTTTAAGGTCAGTTTTCACTGCAGACGATACGCTGGTTTGGGAACATTGAGTTCCTTAATCTCCGAGTGTCATTGTCCTCTTCTGTCTGCTACAGCCCAAGGGTGTCAGGTTTTAAAGTAAAAAGAGTCTGCACTATGATACTGTGCTTTTTAGGCCCCTTGTTGGCTGTTGTATGTAGTAGTTATCGTTGTTCTTATTTGTTCAGTTAGCTGAGAACAATACTATCTGGTCTGTGGTACCTATTTTGGGTTTTAATTGTAAGGGACCTCACAAATACAAGAATTTCCGTTCCAACTGTGGGATTTTCTTTAGCTTTTAAAGAGGCTCAGGACCCGGCAGTGCCAGTTCAGTTGGTTTTGGAAAGAACAGAGGCAGCTGAAGAATGGCTTTAGAGGACTCAGAAATCCTCATGAGCAAACACCAGACTCTGAAACCCCCGTTTAATAAGCTTTGGTATTAAGAACACCTGAAAATGAAGTTCAGTTCTTCAGCCAGCTAAAAATAAAAAGTTTGTTTACCCCTTCTTCATTTCTCAGAGTTCAGTAAGAGGCCATATCAATTATAACACTTCTCAGGTATTCACTGAAAGGATTCACCATATAAGACCGCGAAATGGGAACATAGCGAAAATGAAAGGAAATATTATTCCAGAGATGGAAAATCACCCATATTGGTGGGAGGTGAAGATTAAATCCTGCTCGGGTTAAGTTAACTTCATATATATATATATATAACACACCGTGCCAAGCAATATCTGGTCCTAACTAGTGCTGATATACTAAACATTTATTTTCCATTACTCAGATGATTCTTTTCCAGACTGATGAAATAATGGTAGTAAATACTATTGTCAGAAAAAAATAGTGAGCATTTCACTTCGGCAAGACACTTCACCCGAATTTGCTCCTGTGGGTATTGTCCACAGTACATGTATGATATTAATGTGTACTTGTAAAGCGCCTTGATGACTTCGAGGTGTGAAGATGGGTGGTGTGGCGCAGTGGGCTGTGCATTGATCATCAGATCAAGGGGGCGAAACCCGCCGCCGCTGCGTCTGTAAAGCCATTGTGTCCTTGGGCAAGACACTTCACCTGAATTTTCTCCTGTGGGTATTGTCCACAGTACATGGCCATTACATGTATGTATGATATGTATGTGTATTTGTAAAGCGCTTTGAGTCATTGAAAAGCGCTATAATAAATATAAGGAATTATTATTATTATTACTATTTCGAGTGTCTCTTAGTCCAATGTGATGTATCTACAGTGAATGTCTAAAAAAGTCAAAGATATTCCATGATTTTGTCCAAACCGGGAAACAGGGGTGCTGCGCCCTCTTACTTTCGATGTGCGCCCTCATACAGAAATGCAGATTTCCCCCGTAAAATGTTAAAGTGATGCCAGAAAACAATATTTCTGTTCGTCAAAAACTGTATAATTACTAAACTAATTATGAAAATCGTGCCGAATAGACCGTCAGGCGGCATAGACAGCTTTGTTTTTACGGAGCTCCGACGACGCGGTGTTGTTTGCGTCTGCGGTGCCATTTTGTATCCGGGCGTTATCTTCTCTCAAGAATTTATATATCTTATGTACAAGATCGGCGCCACAGTATTGCCCTCGTACTCGTAAGATATTCAGTTAAATATTATATATAGTATTATATATATATATTATATATTTGGTTGGCTGAAATCAGCATTTCCTGCCACTTTTGCATGGAAAAAGTATTTTTTATGTAATTTGTAATTTTTAGCTTTGAACAATTTTAAATCATAAAGCACTTGATAATTAAATACTAAATCAATATGATTTTTCTTCACTCCCTTTTATCACATTTCTAAATCACTGTCTCTCTGACTCTTAGAAAAAGTACTGTCACTGTGTCTTTACTATTTTACCATATGGCCACACTCTCAAACAGACAGGGACTGTTTTTCTCTTCATGCACACTGGGACCGCCTTTAATCTTATCTTGTATATAACACCCTTCTACAACACACACTTTTGACAGCCTTATCCATCAAACACATTCACAGGTATACTGCTACCATATGAAATAACACACTCTCATTCAATTTGCAGCAAACAACACACCTAACATACACAGATCCAATGTGACAGTTTTTCCCCACATTCACAAGGGCATGTACGGACATGCCCATGAAATGCAGAACACACACACACACACACAGCAATCACACTTTTTGTGGTTATTATCATTTCGATGTTCGCCTCGAGCTGACGCTGAATTCAGACGACATGATATCTCGTTGCTCGAAGTAGGAGGATAAGATTAGATCAGAAGGAGAGTAGTGGCTAAAGGAAAAGACAGGAAGGTGCTAATGGCTTAGTCATTGTAGGATCAGAGGCTTTTTTTTTTACTACTTTATGTTAGAATTAAAATGTCGTCAACGCTCATTCTGTGATTCAATCCTTTGCCATTATGTTTTGTCTCTTTGGTCACCTGCCTCCAATTTGTATAAATGTTTTATAAGGTTTTGGTCATAATTTATTTTTTCTAGCAAACTTGACGAAAGGCGTTGAGAACAGAACATATATATACATGGAACATCTTTAAAAACTGCATTTTATTACAATAGAAAGCACTAACTAAGCAGATGTTTGTAAATGACCAGGGATTGTTACTTAACAGATGTCTTCTTTTTCTCCACCTCTGTCTACCCTCCCCACCATCTCCTTTTCTTTTGTTCCCCCTCCCCTTTCTCGTCCCCCTCTGTCTCTCCTCAGTGCAGATATTAGGGAATCCTGCAAGGGGGATTAGCGGTCCGTCAATGAGGAACTACCGGCTCATCTTCTGCCACAACCTGAAGCAGCCATAGAGGGTTTGGTGGTTCACTGGCTAGAGGCGGAGAGCATAGGATACACTTTCACTGCTGCACGGTGAGTTCACACACACACACACACACACACACACACACACACACACACACACACACACACACACACACACACACACACACACACACACACACACACACACATACACATACACATACACACACACACACACATACACATACACATACACATACACAGCACACACACATCATTTGCTATAAACACAATTTGTATATTACAGTGCTTACTTTTAATACTACCAGACACTTTAAGAACTGAAAAGGACAAGCAGTAACTCTAACTTTCTGTTTATTGTAAGAGGTCCCCCTTCCTCCTCCTTTTACAGAATACATTTCACACTCTTTTTGGAGTAATTCCCGCATGTGATTAATATATTCTTTGCAAATGTTTTTGGGTTGTGGCAATTATGTTTCCAGGGCCAATAAGATTCTGTTATTCTTATTTACAAAATTGAAAAAAAACACCCTTTGAATTTGATGATACAAATAAGAAAACAAATGTAAAATGTCTAAGTTTTTTGTCTTTTATTGAAATGTGTGTTAATATCTTTGAAAGGCCAATATTATTTGAGATGTTGTGTAACTTTAATTCAATTTAAATGAGACCAAACGTTTGCTAATATTCCTCCTGGACTCCATCTGCCACTGTTTGTTTTCCGATTACTCACCGAGCGACCATCATCAAAGTCAAACTAAAAACAGAAATTAATGTTGCCAATTCTTTCTCGCTTTGCATCCATTTACATCTCATTCTCTGACTCAGCTTTCACAGCATGGCCTTTGCATGGTAACTAAGGAGTGATGATGACAAGAGGACATGACAAATACTGTAGGGACTTAAAGTAATGGCCTTTATATGCGGATTATATAACAACTGACTTTCACCCACACTGATTCATGTTTATGTAATTAAATCATCCACTTTGAGAGCAAATGGTTGTAAGAAAATGACATAATACTACCTTGTGCAGAGGGAAATCAGTGTGTGCAACTTTAGCCAGATAGTATCAGGATTCGGGAAAAGGTAGGACCCAAATGCAGAATAAAAAAGGTCAAGGGACAAAAGGTGAGCTTTATTTTGTAAAGCTGATGACTGAAAAAACATGACATAAAATAAACAGGTAGCACGAGGTAGCATCAAAACTAAAACTGACCGTGACCAACATGAAGGGAGACAGGAAAGACAATGAACCGACATGGAGCACAGGGGAAGACAAGACTAAATACAAAGAAGGGTAATCACAGGACAAGACACAGCTGGGCAGGGGAGGCAGAAACACAAGGGCAACAAGTGAACACAATCAGACACACCAAGGAAAACACAGGAAGGAAGACAAGACACAGGGAGAACAGAATTGCAAAATAAAACCCATGACAAGACAAAACAAAAATTGTGACATAAAACTAAGATCGTGACAGATAGCATATCAATCAGACTTCATTGATAAAGCACCCTTCGAACAAATGAGGATGATAAAAGTAGTACAAAGTTAATAAAACAATCTAGAAAAAAACAAGTCACAATAGTCAACAGTAAAGTGTAAAAGTATACAAAATGTAATGAAATAAATAATGATCATTTAAAACATGACGTAAATGCCAGACCAGGAACATAGACAGAATTCCTGTCAGACAGCACCCCCCCCCCCCCCCCCCCCTTTACCTGATTCTGTCTCCTTCTCTTCCCGCCTGCTCCCAAAATGCTGCACTACATGAAACCTTAAGTCTCTAGAATGAATTTTCTCCTCCCACACACTGGACCTTTGAATACAAAAATGTCATTAGGGTGTTGTTCACTGTTTTAGAAACAACTTATTTTTTTTTTTTTTTTTGCAACAGTCATAGACTTCCCCATTCCCAGACACATAACTTTGTTTTGCACTCCTCCTCCACCTGTTCTTCCTCCTTTAAATCTTTTGCTGCTCTCTATTCTCCTGTTTCCCTTCCTCCTTTTCTTCCAGATGTGAGAAAGGTAGGTTCACACACACGTAACAGTGGGTGTTTCTCAATGTCGAGGAAGGCTGCTCCAGAGCCACTATTTCAAGCATACTACGTCATTGAGTCCCGCCGAAGGACTGTTCCAATGTCCAGCATACTTGGAATTCTACCGAGGCCGGCGTACTTCGTAGCGAGAAATTTCGAGGCTGCACATGTGTGGTCTTAAAATCCCCACAATGCTTTGCGCACCGACCAATTTCCAAATCTTTGGCGGAAATCGCGCTCCATTTAAGGCGGGGCCTCGCATATGACGCACACCTGTTAGCCTGTTCCACAATTCTTCGTTTTCCGAGGCTAGAAAGGATTCTTGCCTCGCTTCTGAAGCAAGTGACTCGGAAGACATGTGCTACCAAGCAAGCGTCCTCGACATTGAGAAACACCCAGTGTGTAAAACCGACCACTCCACAGCAACTTGTATGTTATCTTTATAATAGGTTTCTCTTTTCTATTATTTGTCAGTGTGCAAATGACTGCAGATGACACGTGTCTTTACCACGCTGCACTTTCTAATAACCCTCCTTCTTTTTTCCTGAAGACGTGAGGTCTTGGCGGGGTTGTGGTGAGGAGGAGGCCATGAGGAAGAGCGTGTCTCCGTTGCCAGGCAACGAGGGCGGGAGCTCAGCAAGCACTACGCGTGTTTTTGGCGTTCCTCTGGAGGATGTGACGCGCACACACACCCTCAGCGGCCATGAGGTTCCTGCGCTGGTGAAACACATCGTCGACTACATTGAAGAGCATGGTGAGACACACACACACACACACACACACACACACACACACACGAATGTAACACACACTCATAGACTGAGTGACGCTCGAACAGAACATTCAAGACATTTTTTTTGCTGGGATTTATTCCGTTTTAGGTAAATGTAGATTATTTTTTTTAACTTTTGGGCATTAGATTAGATGTCACATCATTAAATATCAAATATGGGATTCATTTTGGAATTATTTCCCACAAAGCATTATTCACCAACCTAAAATAACAACACTAACATAGCTGATGACGCCAATGCAACAATTTCAGTAAATGTAAATGCCTGATAAACCAATCAAATCACTATTGTGATATATTTACACGACTCATACTCACCAATGGTGATGCATTTGTTTGCAGACATGTATATCAGTCATTTGATTGTTAGATCTCCCTCCTTTTCTTTACTTAATATAACCAAAGTAATGTCTGTAACATAATGGTCATCTGAAAACGTATACACAGTTATTGACCCAATACTAAATTAAACACCATTTTTATTTGAGATATATTCATATCATTCACTTGTATCAAAGCAACACCCGATTATGTTTCATTCATCAAGTGAACATTTGTAATTTTTAATTGAAGACGTTTTTTTCTCATTTCAACAAAACGTTGCATTTATTCTTTCCCGCCTTATGTTCAGTATAGTTACACAGGACTTTGGTTTGACTGAAAATGCAGAACCATAATGACATTTCACAACACTTAACATTGAAATGGGAAAGCAGGAATAAGACTGTGAGCTTCAGCCCACTTAAAGTCCTTAATTGGTGTCCCACTTGAAGTACATACTTCTAATCGCTCAGTTACATCTGATTGCCTTCTGAAATGTTCCTAAGCACGCCCTCCTGCTATTGATTGCATCACGATAAACCAAATATGTCGTTAGGGAAGATCCAGTTTCTGCGATAAGATGAACTCTGAATGCACCACGGGCTGCTTCCTCCTTCATTGCATAACACTTCTGTCAACTTCAGTTCCTCTAGTGAAAACACAAGAACTGAACAGTGACAAGAGGAACCTACCATAGCCCTGGCTCCGGGCCGTTCCCACATCAGTTCCCCTGGACACTTCCCTTCAGGCCTGGCAGAGCAGGAACTTCAGTCTTATGTCACCGTCTTTATACCAGCAGGTTGGCAGTTCAGACATCTTGCTCTGGAGGCTGAGATGGATAAACAAACAGCCACTTTTGGAGCCAAATTTAAGTTCTTAAACTAACCAGTCAGCGCTCGAATTAATCATTTGGCTGGCATTAATGCTGGCTTCATAACACCATCCGTACCATTGCTGTGTTGCATAACCCACACAGCCGTCAGCCAGACACCAAACCAGACGATCCTCTTTGTGCTTAGGACACATTGTTGGTGCAAACCCTGAAGAAATTCAGTCATTTGAATTTGTTTAACTTAAAAACTCAATACGTGATTTTGCTAAATTGAAAATGCATGTAGACGACGTCCATTTGTTGAATTGATTTACTCTGTGTCACACAGTAGAAGCAATTGGATGGCTGTAAAAATGCCCGTCATGTATAAATAATTGACTGAATAAAGTAAAGGTATCCTGAGATTCAGTATGTAAATGTTCAGATTTAAAGAACAAGAGATCCTTGATATAACTACATAATGTGAAAAGTAGTACAAGTGTGTTGGATAAGCATTTTAATAATACCTGAGGGTTGTGAGTCTTAATCAGAGCTTCAAGAAATGATTTAAAAAACATATCTGCTAACATAACAAGTTCAAGTTGTATTTTTTTTATATCCTGTCTGACATAAAATTATCTTGTTAAACCAGTGTTGTCAGTGGATATGTTTTAATGAAGCTTCACCTCCATCCCCCTCAACTGACCAGTGAAGCAGGTCGATGGTTGGTGTGCCCCAGGGAGCGCTCGATCATAAGAGGTTATGTAATAAGTCTTTAATCCTCTCCGGGCCTCTGCTGGCGTTTAATTAGAGTGGTGCTGCCAGTCCAGAAGTTATTCAGCCAGTGAAAAGGCCTTAATCCCTCTTATTTGGTTTGTGTGTGATGTCGGAGGTCTGAGAAGTAGCACGGTGTTGACAATATGAACTGAAAAGGTAATCTGATGTTAAACAGAGATTGGAAATGTAAATTACTTGAAGGTGTATCAACCGAAGTTGTGGCATTGGTGAAAGATAACATCGTCTATTCAATTTAAAGGGGACCTATCATGCAAAATGCACTTTTGTACGTCTTTTATACATGAATATGTGTCCCTGGTGTTCCAGGGAACTCACCAAGTGTCAGAAAACACAACCCTCTCTATTTTCCTCCATACCCAAATCTCTAAAAAAGGGGCTGCAACGGATCTGATAAAAACTGATCCAGATTTGAACACTTTCCTGACGTCAGGACAGTGGCGCTACGGCTATTGGGCCAACTCCACCAATCAGGAGGAGACAGCCACGGCCATTGCCGTTCGAAAGCGCTGGAGACGCTGTAGTACATATGCCAGGCCTGTAGATGGTGCTGTTCTCACTGAATCAGCCCTTGCAAAAACAGAGCTAACATTTTTCAAATTGAGCGAAATGAGGCATGGCTAAAATGCATGATCTGTTTGGTATTTTGAAAAAAAAAAAAGTATAAATATGCCTTATATAGGTATGGTCCTACACTATATTATTCAAATATAGCATGATAGGTCCACTTTAAACAGGAAACGACTGCTTTGGTTGATATTTAACAGTGTTTAAAAGAGCTACAATGTTTTAATTGAATATTTTCTCAAGTATATAGGGATGACATTTTAATGTTTATTTAGCTTACATTGTAATCACTGGATGATTTCCTGAATGCAAACTATTCTGTATTGACTTGTAAATGGGAATAAGTCCCACGGGACATTGTGTTGCCTGGAGTCTGATTTTATAATCTGAAAAGCCACAACATTAGCACTTAAACCTCTTGAAGCATTGTCTTTAAGCTTCCTTTGGGTGGGACTTCGGCGATAGCCATCATGACAGATAATGACTTGATATGCGAGAGGATTAGTGAAAAATAACAGCACTGTGTAGAAATGGAGAGGAAATGATCACGTTGGGCCCGTTTAAGCTGCATAACGCTTCAAACTAAGTGCTTGTTGGATTGTCAAAAAGCCGTTTTTTCTGGCAATTATTGTAACTTTCCCGAACCGACAAGCGTTCCTCCTCTATGCAGCGATCGGCAGGTGTTAGGAGGAGTGAAAGTATGCAGACTACAAACTTCTCTTTCAAGCTATCCTTTTTCAAATAGGGACGAACAGCATGAATTCCTTTCTGGGAACACTCTCCGACAGTGTGCGTCATTATTCCCATTTGTACGATTCATCACATCTCACCCCTGTCTACTTTGGCAGGCTCTTTATGTCCAGCTCTGAGTGTGGTGGTTCAGACCTGGCATAAAGACTTTAGACATGTTCAGTCAGCTCTACGTTCAATCTAGTTGGTTTGAATCATAATGGACTCATTAATACTTCATTGGAAAATACACCCAAAAAGACCAATCAGTCATTGTTTTTACTTCACACTGATGTATCCTAAGGACTAAATCAATCCAAAAACAGCTTGGAGTTTATTGGAACATCAACAGGATTTTAATTTGTGAAAATCTGACTAGTAGTTGTTATAGTAGCTACCAACAGCAGTATTTGTAGCAGGACACATGACACAAGAAGAACAGATGGCTTATTATCTAAACGTAGATAAACAAAATAATATTAAAAACTGGTTTAATCCCTGAGATAATTTGCTGATGCTATCAGTTTGTCTCTTAAATCACAAACGCTCAACATTCAGCAATGTAAACACAGGAAACAGTCAGTGTGGTCAGGCCTCTTGTTTCATACTGATGAGGGAGGGGTTCACCTGCACAAATGTATTTGTGTGTATATATACACACACACACACGTTTCCCCTGTAATATCATGGTGACCGTATGTAAGCTTTGTTTTAATATTCAAGTCAGCATTTCTTAACTGAATAAGCAACCAGTTGGATCTTTGCACCCCCCAGTTTGCCATAATACCAAAATGTCAATCAGTTATTTATTTTTGACAGTCCAGAGGATTTTACATTAAGTCCAAAGTTCAGAAATATCACATGACAACGCTGCAATACCAGGTAGTAAATGGTTGTCAAATGAAACAGCCATTGCAGGCTGTAAATAATTGCCTCGGTAATGGAGTTTAGGTTGATTAAAAATAATTTGACGTACACTGAATAACCACATCAAGCTCAGAAAATATTAACCAAATATAAATGATGTGATGATGTAAAGAAAGTCTGTAAGGTTATTAATTATAGCTGTGTCCTCAGGTCACCTGGACCTGGAGGGGCTCTTCCTTGTGAATGGCAACGCAGAGCGCGTGGATTGGCTGCGGCAGCGCTACGACAGCGGGGAGGAGGTGGCGCTGCAGAAGGAGGCGGACCTGGCGTCTGCGGTCAGTTTGCTGCGGCTCTTCCTGCAGGAGCTTCCTGAGCCCGTTATCCCAACAGCGATACAGGGACACATCCTGCAGCTCCACCAAGGTGTGTGACACCCCCTGCTTTAACACATGTCACTTCACCACTCAATGCTTTTGTTATTTCATCCACTTTACCAACATTTTGTGTTTTCCTTTCTTTTTTTTTTGCTCCATTTAATGTTAGGTTGTGATTTTATTTTTGCCTGTTGCAAATAACAAAGTGTATTTTTTTGTATTTGTCCGTCTGTACAAAACACACACCATTGTTTCCCATTTCTGGATTTTCATCAACATTGATTTGGCGTTTACATGTTATGGCCATGTTCACTTACTGTTCAGACTTACTGTACTGCAAGGACATAAATGGTGTCTTCCGTCAATATTAAAACCTAATGCACAAATGTACCTTAAATGTACATTTTAACGTATATAAGCTTGCAAGGATTGCATAAAAACAGACCTTTCCCTGTAGTGGAAAATGTTGTGTTGATATTGCTCTCATGGTTTTTTCATAACTCCTATTTAAATATTTACATTTAGACGTTTTTGCGAACTAGGAAACATTGTCATTTTAATTTATTCTCAATAATGATTACAATGCAATCATTTCTACATTTGCTATTATATTGTGCTGTCCCTCCTCTTTGTCTTGTCCTCTTTTGCCTCGGTTTCTATCAGAGATAATCTTTTCTAATCCTCTTGTCATGATCATGGTTGTCTCTATCGCTGTCCTGCAGATAACAGCAGTGGGGGAGTTTGCAGGGACTCTCCATGTCACGTCATTCATTTTTCATTCTCTTCTATTTTTTACGATACGATACAATAATACGATTTTATAAAAGATAACTACATTTTCCTCCGCCATCTCTTTTTACACCCCATTGCATCTCTACCAGAGGAATATACATTGTTCTTTATCTGTGTCTGCATTATGTCTTTTCTTCCAGGTCAACTGTGAGCAAACACATAGGACTTGATATCACATTATTTACTGTTCAGTATAAGTAAATATACAGAAATGAAACGGGGCACAGAGAGGCGAAGTCCCTCCCTTTCCAGTGACCACCATGGGACCTTATTTTGGAAAAAGTATGTATTGAAGTCAATGGAGAGAGAAAACGTATCTTTCGATCCCGTTTGAATTGTGCCACGAATTACACGTATGGTGTTTGTCAATCTTAACAAATAATTTCCATGTCAAAAAAGTCACAGTTTGTCGTAAAACTGTTGAAATATAAGACTATGAAAAATACGCAACTAGAAAGACTACAAATCCCAGAATCCCGGTCCCGCATGCTGGCTCTTACGGAACCGACTAACTCCCCTTGTGTGTATGTACAGCTCTCAACACGCCCAGACTTGTAGTGATTTTCACCTCGTTTAATACTTTTCGCCTCATTCTGAAAGAAAGAAGTGAAAAGTGCCAAGGTGACGGCCGTCTTGGTGTGTGGTGCGAGACGGGAGAGGTAGTTCATTGAGCGGTTTCACACAAAAAAAAGTGTTACTAAACAGTTTTACGACACATTTTTATTTTTTTGACTTGCAAAATTATCTTTTAAATTGACAAACATCATATGTGTAATTCGTGGCTCAATTCAAACGGGATCGAAAGATAACTTTTCTCTCTCCATTGACTTCAATACATAATTTTTCCGAAATAAGGTCCCATGGAGGTCCCCCGGAAAGGGAGGGACTTCGCCTCTCTATTGTAGCAACATGAAGTGCAGCATTGTACTAGTTCAATAAACAGCCTATTCAATAACATTAATGACAGTAAGTAAGTTATGTTGAATGCAATAAAGATGTAATGATATTCTACTCCTAAACATCCTCAGATTACAGCAATGAGGAGGACCTGTTTAGAAACCTGAAGTACCTGCTGCAGCAGCTTCCTCTGCTAAACTACGGTCTGCTGCGCTTCCTCTGCCGCTTCCTCACCAGCGTGGCCTCCCTCCAGCAGGAGAGCTGGAACATCGGGACGCTGGCCGCCGTCTTCGGGCCCGACATCTTCCAGTAAGACGTCTCTTCAGGGCTGTTTAGTTATTAGTGCTTAATGATCACAGTCGTTGTCCCTTTGCAATAAAGATGTACCGGTACTAATTGATTTCTTGGCTGATTCAAATTTCAGATTTTAATTTGCTTTCTTTTTCAGAACTATTATTAACAGCATACAAGAAAACTTTTATAACTTTTATTTAATGGAAAACTTACTTGTATGGTTATACGAATCATAGAAAAAATATTAATATATACTGTGTCAGTAGGCCCTGTTATAGAGAATAAACTATTTATTATATGCCCCAAACTATTTTGTTTGTTTGTTTGTAGCCTTTATTTATCCAGGTGAAATCCCTTTGAGATCAACGATCTCTTTTTCAAGGGAGACCTGCAGCTCATTGGTTACACATGTAAACATAAATACAACAGAAAACAAAAAGGACGTCATACAACATAATTACAGGGGTACAATTTACAAACCTATTCACAATGACAGGTACCATGAGTATCAAATATCATTTCATCCAGCCGAGCTTTAAAATGATGCAGGGGAACCAAAATGCTCAGTTTCAAAATGTTTTGCAGAGTGTTCCAAGCTAGAGGAGCTGTGCACATAAAAGCTTTAGTGCCTAAAACAGTCCTAGCACTTGGCACATGTAATAAAAACACATCCTGGGATCTTAGGCAATAGCTACTTGCGACTCTGTGAGATCAGGTAGCAGATATAAGTCTGTAGTTTACCCAACATGGCTTTATATATGAACATGTACCAATGACTGAGCCTCCGAACAGTAAGTGAAGGCAAACCTGCCCTGGCATACAGGGTACAGTGATGAGTAAGTGAGAGTCACAAATCTCAGCGCACTGTGATAGGCGGCATCTAACTTGATTAGGTAATGGGCTAACTTTATGGGCAGGTATTTGGTTATTAATACAAAACTGTTAATGATTCTATGTGGATTTACAAGAAAGTAAACATGTCTGTATTTATATTATATTATATTAACTCCCTCACCTGTAGCAACATCCTCATCCTGCCTCTATAAATATAGGAAAATGTGTAATCTTTCCAAGAAACTTAGATATTTATATATGCATTTATTCAGCTTTGGCAATTGTTAAACATCCAGGGGCAAACATTGTACTAACAACACACTCTTGTTTGCAGTCTGTCAACAGAAGGAGAGGACCTCCGAGACCAGGAGTCTGTCAGCAGAGTTTTGGCCGAGCTGTTAGACAACCAGGAGGGCCTGTTTGACTCGGAGGAAGATGACGTCTCCACCACCAACGACTACAGCTCCATCAACGAACAGGTACCACTTCTGATTCTAACTCCTGTCACTCATTCAATCTGTCTTATTTGGACAGGATGTCAGTATCCTCTACTAAATCTGGTAATGGCATACTATGCGAAGGATTTTGAGTAAGTACAGGGTGTCGGCGGGGTCTTAAAAAGTATTAAAAGTTGATAAATCAACGAAAATTAAGGCTATTAAAAAGTATTAAACTGCATTTTCCAAGGTATTACATTTTGTAGCTTGTTTCCAATAAGTATATAAATTGTCCAAAGAGGTTGTATTCTACAGTCTGCCTGAATGTAATCATTGCGTAGGTGTGTAGTGTGATTCTGTGTAGTTTATTTATGGCATCCCGTTGGATTTGACGTCATCTGAACAGGACATCGCACGCTCACTGCTTGATAGCGCGCGAAGGTCCGTTTACGCCGGTTGTTAAACAACATCGTTATGGGGAAATGCAAGTTTGCGTCCAAATGGTTGGAAGATAAGGAGGAAGGACAATCAATACTGTATATAGTCAATGTGAGGTAAAGTGTGTCGCCAATGTAACCGGTTAAAACTCCAAGTGGCGATGAGGTCTTAAAATGTATGGAAAGGGTCTTAAAAATGTCTTAAAAGGTATTACATTTGACTTCAGGATTCCTGCATATACCCTGAAGTATAGATATCTCCAAATGTGCCAGTATGTAAATGAAAAGAAGGTATGAATGTTTTTTTAGCCGTCAGAGACAAACATTGGTTATTCATTCGAGCCTTTGGTCTTGAGCCTACACATCTCGCCTCCTGCTGTACAGGTCTCCCCTCAGGAATAAATAAAGTATATTTACATCTATTTTTGCGCACCCCGCCCTCTACCCAAAGAGGTCTTTGTATTTGTTCTTTTCCCGCGGTATAGTCAGTGTTTAGATCTAGGGTTTTGCATGATTCATGCCTAGAATCTGGTGATATAATAGCTTACATTTTGCAAAAAAATAACTCAATACATTACACCAGGGAACCCAGCATATTCTACACAATGTTCTAAGTCTCTTAGCGTAAAAATAGAAATAATTACATGAATTCACCGTCAACATTACTGAAATGATTGTTCAATTACAAAACCTGTCAAAAATCCTCCTCTTTGTCTCCTCCTCTTCCTCCTCCTCCTCCTCCTCCTCCTCCTCCTCCTCCTCCTCCTCCTCCTCCTCCTCATACTTCCTATTTAAAGACACTCACACAGCACAATGTGGCATTTATCTCTGCCAGTGTTGGGGTTGAAATTGTTTCTAAGGGGGGGAAAAACTGGAAATCTTTCTAAGAAATATGAAAGCCATCACCGTCAACAAGACACAGCAAAATCACATGTGAAAATAAGAGTAAGAATAAAAGCATAATGACCTGCTTTTCTTTATTACCAAGAATATTATCTCTGAATTCAGAGGAACGATCTTAACGAAAGAAATCTGCTCTGTTTTTCAAAATGATTATCAATGGACGGTACTTAGGTAAATCATACTTGACCAGAGGCCTGTACTACGAAGCCGGTTCAACCTAACCTGGATATGTTTGAGTTAGCCGGTTGGCCCAATCCAAAACATACGCGCTCTCGCTAAGCTGTACTACGACGCTGGTTATCAAGTGGATCGCTCAAGCCAGCCGTGTCCTATCTAGTTGGGTGCGCGTTCACATGAAAGGGGTGGTATTTGGAGCATTCGACCAATCTCAAACACGGACAAGCGTACTGACAGCGCAGCGTCATACTTCCTGAATGAAAAGTGAACTTTAATATTTGTCAAATCTGAAGAAGTTAAACTTTAAACATCCATGACTTAAACACTTTATCCAGGATAAAAGCCACATAGCTGCACCTGCAAGGTGAATACAGCTGGTAAAAGAAAAAGTGTTTGAATGCGTACATTAACAGGTTTATGATATCACTGCCCCGTCCAAGACACGAGTGGATCTGACTTTAATTACATTTGACTCGATTGTTTCGTCAACTTTATGTGTTGCTTAAAATAATACTTCTGCATACAGTATGTGACACTGTGAGTGTTGCACGGCCAGATACGGCTCAAGAAGCTGACTCAGATAAGGAAATATATGATACATTATGATGTGATATGATGTGATATGAATGATAATGGGACACATCGACGTCTGCACTCACAGTGCCGCGGACTGTACTTAATGTTACTCTGATCCGGTTACTTACGTTGTGGCAGATATTTAAGTAAGCTTTCTTAACGCTAATATTATAATAGTCAGATTGCTCTGAAGATGGGAGGTGATATTCTATTAATTTTCACGTTCACACAGTCAGTTGATTTTTGCCGGCCGTCTTTCCTGCAACGGCAGTTTTTCTGTATTTCCTTTCTCCTGTAATATGACTTGATAGCTTTAAACTCCGCACACTGAGCTCTGATTGGTCAGCAGGCGGTGCTTTCACTGAGTTGATCTCTTAGCCTGCAACCTAACCTCCTCCCGAGGAGGTTAGCCGCTCAGCATAAGTTACCATGGAGATCTAGCCCGCTAAAAAGAGAACCAGCGTCGTAGGACCGGAAAGCCAGAGTTTTCCCTGAAGTCAGCCGGCTAAGCGAAAATCCGGCTTTGTAGTACAGGCCTCTGGTTACATTTGGAAAAACATTGGTATTAAATGATTACATCATACCTAGAAACTAAAAACTCTTCCAGTAAAACAAACCACAGTGAATCATTCAGGCTGATACATATTAATTAGCTGCAGAGAGAACTTGTGCTGTCTAGGAATGTAAGTACTCACTTCCTCTATGTATGTACATAACAACACATTCTGAGAAAGCTTTACAAATGACTTTATCAGAAGAATCTCCAAGAGCCCCACCCAAACACACACACACACACACACACACACACACACACACACACACACACACACGTGCCAACACGCACTGTGACAGGGCATTAAATAAACCCTAAGGTGTGTTCAGATCAGAGTGTGAATGTGGCTCAATGGGCATATACCAGCTGTGTGACTGTGTGGAACTATATGTGCTGTCTTAAAACAACATTAAACACACAGTACGTGACCAGCAGACTAAACAAACTCAAAGGCATTTCCCCTGTTGCTCAGCAACACAGCGTCTCTACTGGACCAACAGCACAGTTAACATTTCATTTTACAGTGCACTGATTACACGGTGTTATTGTACAATAACATATACTCAAGCACAATAATAACCCCTGATCCATATCTGATGTTGCCTTTCTGCTATAATTCCTGTCACATTTAATAGTTCATTCTCCATGACAGCGGGGACACTGTAAATATCATGTTTAAATGTTAAAGGCGACACGCAGTCATTGTGAAAGTCTGGCATTTAGAGGAAACGACAGTATCAACAGTAGGTCACCTGTTCAGTTACATTTATCCGCACAAGCTGATTCCCTCCTTTTTTTTATCCTTGTCATGTTTCTCTGCTGCAAGAAGCTTGGCCCCAAGTTTGCTTGCCTTGTTATCTTGAGTTTTTATTGTCATTATACGTCATATCCTTTCCTTTATCTGGCTAGTAATTTCATTATATTGTGATTTAGATCAGCAGTGGAATTAGAAGTCAAATCTCCATGCAACTAATAGAAATGTAATATTTCCAGATCCAGTTTCTTTAACTTTGTTACACTGCATGGTGTATCAGCTGAATGAGATTGTTTAACATAGACAGAATGAGAGAAACAGCAGCAGAAAGGAGCAGCAGGCACAGTGAGAACAAATGTGTAAATATAAATCATCTGTGCAGTGATCCCTGGGTATTATGTAAGAGAGAGGGCAAACAAGTGGGAGGTTGATAGAGGAAGAGGGAGAAAAAAGCAGCCAGGAAGATGGGGGGAGAAATGGAAGACAGAAATAAAGGGAGAGAGGGAGAGATGGTGAGGGAGGGGATGGTAAAGATAAGAAGCTGTGGATGATGTAACCATGAAACTCACACCTCCAGCCCTGCACTGGGGACGCCTCTCTGAGCGCACAAACCCTCATGAAGGGAATTTTATCACAACGGCGTCTCACATGATCACAGTAACAGACGTAAGAGGAAGTTAAAAATGTCTCGCTGAGCTAGAACGATCCTGAAGAAATAAAGTCGAATGCAAATGTGTAGGAGATACAGTAGAAGGGGAAGAAGCATATGAGAGATGGAGTGAGTGAGAAAGAGCTGCATCTTGTCATGTTTAGGCATTACTTTTAAATTCAATGCGTCTGGCTGGGAGCTAAAAACGAGGAATGCCAAACTGGATTTTGGTCTGTTTTGTTGGCCAAACTGAGATTTGCTGTTGCTTTGTTGACACCAGTGGGTGCGTTCGTTTTGAATTGGTGTTGATAGATTTTTGTGTTAATGTACCAGACAATGTAAGAAAGCTAAAATCAGGATTGTTCTAGATACAAATGGTACATGTCATTCTATGGGTGCGCTCAGTACTGAAATTTGCCCGTGGCATTTTCTGCCTAGCTTTGACAACGGCTGGACTGTTGATAGTCACTTTTTATTCCTCAGCAGATGTTTTCTTGCTTACTTTTGTATACCACAACCACATTGCATCCTGTGACATTAGAAAGCAGTATGTTCTGTTTTGAATCATAGCTCTAGGAAATTGAGCTACAGGGCAGAACTGGTTTCTATTGAAATATGAAATGTAAGCAGACTGTCCCATCTTAATAAGATAGAATCTTTTTTCATGCTACTGTTGACTGTAGAGAAAAAATATGCCCTGTAGACTTGATTTCATTTGGCCTTGAATCTCAGGCCTCAATGGGATTGCAATTTGAGCCTCATATCTGAATAAGACCCAGAGTCACTTTGACTTGGAAGTCACAACATAAATCTTACTAGTGCGTATTTATGGAAACTTCCAGGATGAACACATCTGAAGTCTGAAAGCTGCTGTAATAAGGAGCATTTACCCCTTAGTGGCTATTCATCTATTGAATTTATTTAGACCAGAGGTTTTCAAAGTGTGAGGCGCCAGAGAGCTTCAGGGGAGGCGCAGCGTGAGAAAAGAATAAC